GACAGAGCCCGAGTGTGAACACAAACCATTTTGTTTAACTCTTACTTTTATCATTCTTTTCCCTTCCTTTCTTCTTTCTTCATGTTATTACACAGATGTTTATTGAGCTCCTGCTGCACAAGTCAGAGTCCTTCCTGGATGAATCCTGAGTCTCTCCATCTTCTCCTTCTTGCCTCTTTGTGGGCTCCAGCCCTAACCCTTAGAAGGGTGAGCCATGTCACAGTTTTGCATCTTCAGCCCCAACTTTGTCTCTGAAACCCTCCCCAGGCTCACACCCATTTTCTGGTTTAAGTCAAGAATGGTCCCCTAAGGTCAGTGGGGCTTTCAGAAAGTGAATAAAGTATGGGGCCCAATAGCTGACGTGCTGTTAGAAGGGGGCATTACATGGAAGGGGGTGTCTTCCCCCCAGCTCCTCTCTTTGCTCTCTGCTTCCTGGTCACCACGATGTGAGCAGCTCTCTTCTGCCCAGCTCCTTCAACCATAGCGTTCCTGCTTTGGAACTGGCTGACCATGCAAGGACTGAGACTTCTGAAACTGTGAGTCAAAATAAACCTTTCCTCCCTTAAACTGTACATCTCAGGTATTGTGTCCTAGCAAAGAGAAAGTGACTGAGATAACTAACTGGTCAGTCTCAAGGGAAACTAAAAAGCTTAAAATCTATGTGCTCGATCACCTACCCTACCCTAAACCTGCTGCTCTTCGGAGACGTTACCTCACTGAATAACACCTCATTCCTCTATCTTTGCAAGCCGGGAACAGGACTCATCCTTGACACCTTTGTCTCCCTGGTCTCTGGACTTTTGATAGACTCCACCCACGCTCCTCCCACATCTCTCCGCCTCCACCTCCCCCATCTGTCCTCCAGCCTCAGTCTCTAGCCTGGACAAATGACAGTGCACTCATTCCCCGGTGTGCTCTCCGTCTCCGTAGCATTCCAACCCACTCCCCGCCCATCACCCAGAGTGGGGTTTCTTCAAACGCCAGTCCACACAGATTGTTCCCACCCTTGCCTTTAAGTGCTTCAGTGGATGCCCGTGGTTCTTGTAATAAACAAAGACCAAAATGTTTCACATGGCTCCACATGTCCATTGTCTTATTTTGTCACTCTGTGTTCTTTGACTTAGAACTTCTGCCGCCCAGACCTTGGCCGGTTTTTTGAGCTGTCTCCATTCAGATGCAGGGCCTTGGCATGTGCTCTTTTCTTTGTCTGAAAAGCCACGTATCCTGCAAATTTTACTGCCCTAATTTCTGTGCCTCTCTCCACTCAGGCCCATTCCCTTAATGAAGGTTAACCTTCCACACTAAATCACTTCTTCTGGTATCGTGTTATTAAGAAGCTTTGTGTATTTCATACAGAGTACTTCAAATGATCAGCGCTTACACTTTTATTTGTGTAATTATTTTATTAATATCAGTTCTTTTGAACAGAAGGTAAGCTCGTAAGAACATGTCTCTTTACGTAGTACCACACCCTCCTTTACCTAGTGTAAAGCCTAGTACATACATCAGAGTAATTCAGTAAATGTTTGAACAAATACACCATAAGGCATGATAGGATCATTACATAATTAAGCAAACTCATTTGTGTTTTGGTTGTGGGGAAAAGAAAACAATCTTTTTTTTTCTCTAGAACAGGGATTCCCAAATTTCGATGGTGATCAAAATTACCCTCCAAGAGTGCTGGGTCCCGTACTCTTAGTTTCTGACGCAGTAGGTGATAGTGTTCAAACTTTGCATTTCTACAGAGCTTCATGGTGATGCGGATATTTTAGGACCAGGGACCACACCTTAAGAGCTACTAGACTCCTCCATGTTCATTTTCGGGAGTCGGCTGGCAGAGCTGTGTGTTCCAGACACACTTTCGAGAAGTCAGCATTTCCTTACTTACTGCAGCCGTACGGCCTTGGGTGCCACAGGAATGCACAGTTTTGTTCTTTCCTAAATAGTCTGGGAGAAGCTTCAATATTTCAACAGCTGTGCCTAGCATCGCTCATGGATTCCACTTCCAGCCGTGATTTGCCTACTAGCTTCTCAGCAAGGACAAATGCCTGCACCTGAAAATAAAGTGGGGTGGGAGGATGGGAAGTTTAGGTTTCAAATATCTTTCACTGAGGAATCAATTTTAAAGAGTCACACAGCAACAATTCGGCATGAACTGAGTCCAGACACCATCATTCAGAACAGGCTTACCCTCTGCAACTGGCACCAGGCCAGCTTAGAGCCAGGTGAATTCCCTTGGATCAGAGTCAAGTGCCCTGCGGCCACCTACAGAGCACATAGGTAGGATCTCCAAAGTCCCTCACCTCCATCTGCCCTGCTTGATTACTATTTCAGGTCCCACCTAAGGACTCCCAGCTGGCTGGCTGGGGTCCAGCAGCCCAGGCGTGGCCCTCAGATCATGTCTCAGCTGCAAGGAGGGCCAGCAGGGCCACTGGGGTGAGGGAGGACCATTGAACTGACTCCTTTGAGTGGAGCTCACCTATGACAGGGACTGTTGTTGCACGATTATGGTGTTTACAGCTTGTCATTGCAGGACTAGTGGTTGCAGAAAGAAATGGGAGGGCAGATAACCAAAGCTGAGATCTGTGTTTTAATAGGAAATAAAAGAACAGGACCTTTTCTGGAGGAGGTGGGTGGAACGAGAGATCAACTGTACCCAGTGAGGGGCATTTGTGACATGTCCCTAAAGCAGGGGAGCTTGCTGGTTTGAAGCTACTCCCACAAAGTAATGCTCAGGCACAACCCAGAGGGTGCCCAGGGGCCTAAAGGGCATGTGTTTGCGGACATGCATGTCTATTGAACTGAACTCAGAGGATTTGTGCATGTTCGTTCAATATTTAAAAGTGCCAAGAGTGGCAGCCACACAAATGTACCTCCCAAACAGTCAGCTACAGAAAGGGCAGGAGGGCAGTTGGCCCAGGGCCCAGAGTTGGGTACTGAATTCTACTCCCACATCTATATCCAGGACCCACTTCCTGTGGGCTGATCCTGGCCGACAAGCGAATGTAGCAGAGACACTAAGGGGATCCAGATTCATCTGATGGCTGGTTTCCAGAACCTCCATTATACTGCACACAGTCTAAGTCTGTGGTTCCACTCAAGCATCCTTCCATGTCCCCTTCATTGGGGGATCATGTGCACATCATGCTCTGACGGGTTCCCCACCTTCTCAGCTCCCTCCGCATTTCTTATCGTAGACATTTCCCTTAGGGGCCTCATCCATTTACTCTTCCTCCGATGATCCCGGTGAAACGAGAGAGTGCAGAGCATTCTTTACTTATGTAGAGAAATGAAAATGCTTACTGAAAAGAAGTGGATGGAGAATCTCAAGAAATTCTCTCATCCATTGGTCCAGGTTCTGGTCAACTCTCTCTCTCTCTCTCCTGCAGAGGGACTTGAGGAAGGCTTTGTCATCTCTGAGGAATAATCTGGCATTCGAGATCCCTGCGGTCATGGCCCCTTTTCAGACTTCTTTTCTTCTCCTTCTCCTCAGGTGACAACCTAGCATGTTCAGAACTCTCAGCCACAGCAAAGCTCATTCTTGGGACATTCTTTGTGTAATGAATTGGGTTTTGTTCCTGCTAGTAGGTCACTAACTGAATTGGTTGCTAAGTGAGGAAATGTATATAGTGTGTGCGTTATAATATTCAGAACCAAGAAATGGTCAAAGGAAAGCTCCAACTCGATGACTTTGTTTTTATTTGCATAACCCTTACATGCAGAAAATATAACTCTAGTACTGTACTATAAAATCCAATCAGCAAAAATTACAGTACGGAAGAAGCCACCATGAGGTTGCTGTTCTGTTCACATCTCTGGGTTGTAGTCTGAATGTAGGCTTTAAGTCCCAGCAGCAGGTCATAATCCATATAGCCATGAAGTAGGTAGGTCATAAAATAAGGAATATTGCATTGGTGGAAACAGTACATTAAAAATTAGAGAGCATAAATAATCTCTGAAAATCCTCTAATGTAGGTACTGTGATTCTATAACTTTTTAGCTGGTAGCCCATTGTGTATAGTGGTTCTAAGGTGGGAAACATAGATGCCGTGTTGCCTTGGGAAAGTTAACCTCTCTGAGATTCTACTGTATCTTTCTTTTAAAAAGGAAAGGATGAGAGGATAATATTACAGGGCTAGTGTGGAGATTATATAAGATAATATTGTACAAGTGAAGGAGTTAGTAGGACCTTAGATCCTTTCAAGCTCATTGGGTGTCCACTGTCAATATCACAAATGTAGTATGCTGAGGAAACAGGCATGGGCACCTTCTAACCCTCCATAAAGGGTACGACATATAAACAGGGCTTAATAAGCATGTGCTAAACGGAGACCCTTCATATCTAGGTTTCTCCATCTCAGAATTACTGACATTTTAAACTCAACATATTGCTTTGGAGGGTGCTGTCCTGGGCAGGGTACAGTGTTGGACAGGACTCTTGGCCACTGCACATCAGATGCCAGGAGAAATCTCCAGCCTTGGGTGACGAAGATGTCTCCAGACTTTGTCCTACTTTCCCTGGGTGGAGAATGCCCCCAGCTAAGAATCTCTGTCAAAAATGAACAGGGAGTGAACATAATCTCTGGTCCTCAGGGTCCTAAAACTCCAACACAGAGGTCTCTCCAGTTTTATATTTTTGCTGAATCTTTTGTCTTATGACTGAGTAAAATAGTGGGCATTTGAAAATCCTAAGTAAAGGACATCAATCCATGTTGGAAGGCTTGGGGTGGTGTGAAGTCTTCTCGTCGAGAAATCAGAGCTCAGGCCGATGCCAAATCGAGAGCTCTTCCAATCATGACCCTTTGGGGTGGATTTCCACTGATCCCCTTAATGAAATACACTCATTAGATCAGTCTGAACCTGTGATGAGAAGACCATGCTTGGCTTCATTCCCAGCACCATGGCCATGAGAAAGCATTCTAGTTTTTATAGACTGCAAATTGACAAACTTTTGTTGTTGTTTTGAGCCTAAACTGGTATGTAACCTTTGTATCTTCTGCAGGAAATGGCATTCTGCATAGACGTGAGCAAATTCATCTCTTTCCAGTTGCTTTTCACATGCAGAAACTGGGTGAGTAGAAAAGGAATCTGAACTCCCTTCAGTTGGTTAATCTACTCTACTGAAGTGTAAGGCCAGGAACAAGTCACCATTGATTTCTTCAGAGCACGATAATGAGATATTTGATATGAGCAGATAGGCCTGCAAGCCAGTGCAGGTGGGAGCTAATCTGCTCTGCGCAAAATGTAGTAGAAAGGGAGAGGAAGGGCAGTGTTTGGGATATGAAGACCTTGAGCAACACGGCGGGTGGCCAAGTGACTTGTAAGGAAGGGATATCTGATATTCACTGTAAATTGGTTTCCACCTGTGTGATGTGAAACTCATTTGATGGTGGTGATGGTTGTACAACATCATGAATGTACTTAATGCCACTGAATAGTACACTTTCAAATGGCTACAGTGGAAAATTGTATGTGATGTGTATTTTACCATGATACTATAAAACCTACTTTGGATCTCCAAACTTTAATAACAACTGATCCACACATATGCACACACACGCACGCGCACGCGCGCACACACACACACACACACACACACGTCTTGCTTGAGTGGTTTGGAACGAAGAAAATGAGTTGCATTTTATGTGTGGGTTTGACGTACAGTATTCTGTGTCAGAGGAGACAACGGTGCAAGAGCTAAGAGTGGATGACATGGGGGTCAGTGGGAGCCAGGAGAAATGAGGGCAAATGGGTCCTCAGGAGCTGCTCGGATCTTGGTGCTGCTGCAGTCGTTGTACCCAGCATTCATCTGATGCTTCTGTTTCACACACACTCCTCTCCCTCATCTCTTCAATGGTGTATTGTACATGATGTTTTGTCCTCTTTAAAGTTACTGTCTTTGGTGTTTCTTTTCTAAGTTTTTATCCCCTTAGTTTCCTAGGTGTGCCCAGGTTTTTGCTTCTCTCAACTTCTTTTCCCTACAACTGAGGCACGAAATGCCACTTGAGGTTAGGCCCGTGACTTGTCTGATGAATATTCTGACATCCGGGGACTGCCCGAGTGAATGAATTCTGAGAATTAGGGGCTAATGGCAAACACATGGCCCAGTCCCAGGTGACGTTGCATTTGGTCAAGCCTTTGGGACAGGCTTGAGGACATCTATGGGCAGACCCCAGGCACAGAGTGCTTTTCATAGAACCGAAAACTAATTCTAGCGTGAATGGAGGTGAGTCACACCTACTGGTCCAAAATATTATACTGCCCGATGAGGGAAGGTGAGCTGGGCCTAGTCTGTGTTTCTGGAACTAAGCAGATCCAGATCCAATCTTAAACTCCACCGTTGCCTCTTATCCAACTTGTACCATCTGGAAATTACTTATCTTCTTTGTGCCTTACACATTCTTACTTTCACTTTTCAGATTGAAAAACTACTTTGATGCTTATTTTCTCCCTGGTTGGCCCAATTCTATATAAGCAAGCAGGCAATTTGTAGCACTAAGTTATTTTCACTGTTGTTATTACTTTATTTCTCAACCAAAGCAGGTCTCTCTTTTAAGTACTATGGAACTTTCTGGGCTATATTTATGCCTTGGCTTGCTTCTTTTTCCTGGGTCTACATGCAGGTGAAACCTATGACATCCTTCCTGCATAAAATTGAATTCTAAGTTACAGCTCTTGTGAAAAAAGATTTGGCTTTTCCAAATTGAACTTTTTAGAGATATACTTATCATTTTGTGAGTGAGAGCACCTAACTCAAATTTGTATAACAAAAGGCATTTAGGTAATACAGAAATTTTACACATGCTCCAAAAGCCCACTTGTTAAAGGCTTAGTGTCAAGTCTTTGTTGGGAGGAAACTCAAGTCCTCAAGGATGTGGACTTCAAAGGGATTCTGGGACACTGGCTCCTTCCTCTTCTCTCTTTGCCCTGTCCACAAGGAAGCAGGTTTTCTCTGCTATGCACTTCTGGCATGATGTGCTTTTCCTATACAAGCTCAGATCATTCCAGCCAACTGATCATGAACTGAAACCTCCAAGACCACGAGCCAAAATAACCATTTCTCTTCATAAGTCATGTCAGATATTTTGTTATGGTGCTGAAAAGCTGACTAACACAGACAATGTGTACTGATTGGTTATGTAACATTTGCAAGCTAGGAGGCAATTCACACTTGGACTCTAAGCTTGTGTTCTTTGAACGCACCACTTTGTGTTTATGTCTGGATGAGGACTATAAATGAGGGCGATGACAGACCTGGGTCTTCATTCACCCTGGCTCTGCAAGACTAGCTCTGTGACCTTGGGCCCAGGTCTTACCCATCAATGCACCACAGTTGTCTGGTCTGTTAAAGATGGGTCCCAACTCACAGGGTTATTGGGAAATCTAATGGGTACACAAGAGAATGGTCCCTGGCCCAATGTGTGGCCCAAAGTAACTCAAGAAACATTAGCCCACATCACCCTTCCCCATTCTGTGTTGCAGATGTCCCTGCTATTGCTATTACATATTGTAGCTCCCTGTTCCACAAGAGCACATCCAAATTGTTGCTAAATGCATTGTGCCTTTAATGCCTATAATGGATTATATCTCTGCCATTAACAATGATGGCTCAGTGAATGTTAATACCTGTAACATATCCCACATATAATGCTAATCAAATAAAGTGGTAACAAAAGCACACAATACAACCTCAACTCTCCCAGCTAGTACTTACAGACGAAGCTATACCACACCATGTAAACTCTGGTTGTCTTTGAAGGATAGATGATGCATTATTTTTATTCTCTATATTTTTCCAGATTTTCAGACTGTTATTGACTTTGACATCATAAAAATACTTATTACTATTTTTAATTTAGTATCTGTAAGCCCTCCGTTTTAGACCTAGTTGTTGATTCTGTAGTATACCTGCAATTTGTCTGGCTTTCTTGTGTGGATGTGGGTGTTGGGGGTGGTGTTTCTGCTTTGTTTTTATTTTGTTTTGTTTTCATGTGCTTTTAAAACAAATGCATGTTTTATAATGAAAGCAATGTGCTCCAGGCTGTGTCCTTGTAAAAGATCTTTCATTTACTGTACAGTTAATTCACTGAGCAAAGCAATATTTAGGCAATTCTGAAGACATTTTTTTTTCTTTAAGGCAGGCAGGCTTTTCAATTGTAATGATTTTCCTCTGTGTCATTTAGCAGATTTCCAGGGCTTTTTCATTATGGCAGCACTGGGCCATTTGAGGTACCTGCTCTCTAATCAGCCCTGGCTGACTTCCAGTCAGCCTGGGCGGAAACTCTCTAGGCACAGGGTTTAATTGGGGCCACCCACCATGGACACGCTTCCCCCCTTTGTCCAGAGAGGTGGAAGCTCCTGATGTAAGGCACATAAAAATGTCCAACCTTGCAGGCCAAGCAAGTGGGATCTGATGGCCTGTGGCTGTTATCATGCCCTAGTTCAATGTTAGCTTTTCAGACCTTTTCCAAAAGGCTCCTCTCCTTTTTCCAACAATGTAAAATGCAAGATACTCCGTCCAACGGCAGGCAAAGATGGAACTCCACAGAAATAGAGTGATTTAAAGTATTAGGTTGCTGTCTGGACACAGCCCATCTGGACCCTCTCTAAATGGATGCTGTAAAAATAAGAAATACACTTCTCCTCCATTCTTTTGGCTATTAGCCCCCTGGCACTTTGGCCTCCTTTAACTCCTTGCAGAAGCCAGGTGAGCTCCAATAATTGGTTTTAAATGATCTGCCTCTTGGAATCTTTGCAGGCCAGTGGAAAGGCCATGCAGCTTCTAGAACCAAATGGCCCGTGGAACAGGGTGCATCCCCTACACAACATTCGCAGCAGGACGGGGGCTGCAGAGGAAGAGACTCAGTGTCTAGAAGGCCAGTGCATGGTGAATGTTTTAGGAAATGAAGTTAAGTCAAGGGAGCTGTGACCTTTTTGGACACTTAAATTATGAAATGTTTGATTTGGAGATGAACGTGACACCCATGAACCTCCAAGATCATAGAGCCAGCATCCTGGGAATAAAGAGTCACCCTTTCCCCCAGGTCAGAGTGGGCAGAGGGACAATGCAGGGGAGAGAAAATGGCCACAAGACTTCCACTTACCGAGTGCCTAATCTAACACGTGATAATCAGCCTGATCCCTCTTTCTCCCTGTGGCCACATCTGTGTGAGACAGTACAGGTATTCAGTGATTTTCACCATCTTGGAGAGAAGGAAGCTGAAGATTACTGAGGACAGGAGAATCTCTCAGTTCACAAAGCTAGTGTCAAAGTCCAGTTCGGCTCTGCAGCTGAGTTTCTGCATCTTGAAAGCCACTGGGTTCACCTGGTGATCTTGAGCTCATAACCAGGGTGGGGGTAGAGGAGCAGGCAGCCCCCTGTGGGCAGAGCCTGTGCAGGTGTGTCCTCAGTACTGGGGGACTCAGTAGGTAAGGACACCAACAGGCCAGGCCAGTGACTCTGTGTAACTAACTTGTACCAAGGTGATGTCAATGCTACTGGTGTGGGGCTATGCTCAGACCACTGATATGCTGGACAGTGGATAGGTCTCAACCGGCTGCATATTAGACTTTAAAAATAATTCCACAGTGCATCCAGAGCCATTAATTCAGTGTCTCTGGGGAAGGGACTAGAGCAATGGGCAACCAGTTTGAGAGTACTTGCGAGTGGAGATTACATGGCTAAACAGCTCAGGGTAAGTTTCGGGTGCTTAGACTTACTTGAGCGATAATCATAATTTAGAGTTCAGTTAGGAAGGGGGGAAGAAAAAAAAAGACCACTGTATAGTAGAGGCTGAGGGAGGGAATAAAAATAAAATGGGAGAATAAGGGAGGAATCAAAAACTAAACAATCAGCTGGGTGTAGCTCACAGGCAGGTTGTGGACACTGTCCCTCCCAGGATGCAGTACTAGTAACCTGGCTCTGTGGTTAGGGTTGGGTATGGAGGGGCAGTTTGTGTCTGGACTGCTTTCCTTTTGGGCAATGCGGTTTGAAACAAATATATCACCAATCGTGTCCATTCTAGCTTAAGATGACAATGACCTCCTCCCCGTTTGAAACAGGTGACAAAA